TCTCTCTCTCTCTCTCTCTCTCTCTCTCTCTCTCTCTCTCTCTCTCTCTCTCCATGGTCCAGGTCTAATGACCCGGAGGAGCCACCATGGAGATCATTTCCTGGCTTCAAAGTGCTGGGTGCAGAGTAACACAAGGGACTAGGAGCAGTGGAGACCCAGGGACAGCCCACCAGACGTGTGCTCCCATCCTGGGCCAGCGGGAGCTGTTTTCAGCTTTGATGGTTCCAAGGAAGATGCTTATGGAGCCAGGGAGGACTCTGAGGAGGATTCCGAGGCAGCTGCACCCTGGGGGAAGGGCACATGGGTCACAGGACGCTCTGTGTTTTTGGCTCCTAGATGAAAAGACTCAGGGGGCTTGGGGGTGGGGGTGGTAGAGGGACTCGGCCTGGAGCTCAGGCAGGTTGGAGGAGCTGAGGGGACCCCAGTGTCAGCTTCTTCCTTTGCTGCAGGGATGCCCAAATCCCAGCAGGCCTTTCTCCGTGCCCAGCACAGGCCCTGGGCAGTGGTGAGGGCTCGGCCACCAGCTGGCCAGGGAGGCTGGCACTGGGAATACAGTGGCGACAGGGATAGAGTGATCTCCAAGTCTCACTAAGTGCCAATCCCCGGAGCTGCTTTCTTGGTTGCACAGAAAGAGGGGCAGCTGGACCCGCCCATGCCTGTAACCAGCCAGCCCCTGTCCCCTCAGCAGAAAGTCACCGGGAGAGCTGAAGCCACGGGGTGATGCTGGCTGTCTTGGAGGTTTGCATAGCACTTTCTGGTCATCCCAGAATTCTGGGAGGGTGAGGCAGGAGGACTGTGAGTGTGACCCCCACCTGGGCAACTTAGTGACTCAGCATGAGGCTGCCTCAAAAGAAAACAATGAAAAGGGCTGGATGCCAAGGCCCTGGGTTCCATCCTCAGCATCACAAAATTAATAAATAAATATAAAAAGGAGAAAAGGTTTAGTTTTGTTCATGGTTTCACAGGGTTGTGGTTCTTGGCCTGGTGGCTTTGGGCCTGCGATGAGGCCAAACGCCCTGGCAGCAGAGTGACAGAGCACGGCTCCTCGCCTCATGAGGACCGGGGAGCGGGCGGGGCTGGGCGCAGGGCACAGAATATTTCCTTCCATCCTGTGCTCCTCCTGAACTCACTTCTTACCCCCAAGCCCACTTCGGCCAGTTCCCAAAGGTGCTCTCAGCCGAGGATCAGTCTCCTGACACAAGAGGCTGCGAGGGCAAATTCAACATCTGACTGCAGTTGGTGGGGTCGGGGAGACGACAGGAGGAGGCCAGGGTAACCGCTAGGTCTTGGGCGCAGGAGGCTGAGTAGGTGGTTCTGATCTTAGAAATTCAGGGCTGGCGGTGGCATCCCACGTCTGCAATCCCAGCACTGCGGAGGCTGAGAGGTGAAGGCCTCGCTTTGAGTCCCATGACTTAGGCAGAGCTGACTCAAAATGAAAAATTAAAAGAAAGGCTCCGAGTGCAGCTCGGCCAGATGGCCCTGGGTGCAGTCTGCAGCGCCCAAATAAAGTTTTGGAAATCCAGGTGTGCTTGCCGCACACACACACATGCTCATACACCTGCACATATACATGTGTGCCCACAGACACACGGACTACGTGTATGTGTGCATAGAGCACCTGCTCATGTGTGCCCACATGTACACACCCACCCATGCGTGTGAGCATTCCAATGCTCACATTGGAATGCTCACCATACATGCTTGCATGTCCACAGAGACACGTGTGCAGGGGTGCTCACACTTGCACAATGCACACCAACATGCCGCCTGAATGCACGCGCATGCACACGCTCACACACGCACACAGTGCCTTTCCTCCTCTCCAATTCTTCACTGCCTCATTGCCTTGGCAACAGTACCTGTTCTCTTCTTGTTCATCGGCCGTATCCCTGTCATCCCTGTCACCTAGGGCGCTGCCAGAGGCCAAGGCCGCCCTGTTCCTCATTCCTTGCCGTGTGCTCAGGTCACAGCAGTGTGTGGCCCATACTCTGCGGGTCCTTAGGACATCTTGGGTGCTCCAGGGAGCCCAGCAGCCTGGAGGAGAGCGCGGGGGCTGCCGGCTCCCATCCCCGCCTGAGTCACATTTCCAAGCGGTTCTGGAAAGTGTGACAGGCTTGTGAGTGAGAGTGAGGTGCCCCGGGGCCCCAGTGGGGGGCAGGAAGGAGAGGAGGGCGCCTGGGGAAAGGGGAGGGGCTGAACCCCAGCTCTAAAAGCAGCTGTAGGGCGCAGGGCGCCTCCTGCAGCGTGCAGAGCCCACGGAGTTGGGCAACTGTGGTTTCCTCCAGCCCGGAGCTCAGGCGCCTGGGGCCTCAGTCGGCCGGGGCATGGAGGATTCGGTCGTGCGGCCTTCGGTGTTCGTGGTGGACGGACAGACAGACATCCCATTCAGGAGGCTGGGGCCAAGCCGCAAGCCAAGGTGCTGCAGCCCTGCCAGGGTGGGCCTGGGGCTCCTGCTGCTGCTCCTGGGGGCTGTATTGGCCATCCAGGGCTGGTTTCTGCTGCAGCTGTACAGGCGTCTAGAGGAGGTTGTTGCCCGCCTGCCGGTGAGTGGGGCTTTGGGCTGTCCCCTAGACATTCTGTGTTCCTGTGTCTGTGTGTTTGTAGGACAGACAGATAACATCTTACTGACCCCTGAGTCACTGCTGCCAGCCCACTAGCCTCTCTGAACTTCAGTCTCCTCATCTATAAAATGGGGATGACAATAAGAGTGGCTGAGCCTGATTTCAGCCCTCTGGGAGGCTGAGGCAGGAGGGTTCCAAGTTCCAGTCTAGCAACTTAGCGACTCAGCAAGACCCTGACTGAAAAATAAAAAGGGCTGAGGATTCAGCTCAGCGAGAAGATCTGGGGTTGAAACTACAGTAGTGGGGGGAGAGAGAGAGAGAGAGACAGAGAGACAGAGAGAGAGAGACAGAGAAAGAGAGACAGAGAGAGAGAGACAGAGACAGAGAGAGACAGAGACAGAGAGAGATAGAGAGAGAGACAGAGAGAGACAGAGAGAGAGAAAGAGAGAGAGAGACAGAGAGACAGAGAGAGAGGCTTCCTAGAGAATGAAGTATGTTTGATTGAGGGTGCCAGGCAGAGGCTGGCCTAAGGCAAGCGCTGAGCCACTGGGAAGCAAAGTCTCCTCGTTGCTACCATTATCAGTAGTGCCTTCCTGGTCCTGGTCCCGCTCCTGAGATCCTCCTGTGCAATCAGCTTTATGTGGATGGCCTAGCCACGTGCCACGCTTGTGGGTCTGCATGCCCTGTGGTGTGCACACCTGGTCTTGCCCTTTGGGGTCCTGGTCGTCCTATTGTCTCTCCTTGTATCTAGTTCTGGTGGCCACATGTCCTGTGCCTGGGTCCCACCGGCCCGTGTGCTACCCTGTCACACCACGTGTGCTGATGTTGTGCGTCTCTGCCTCTGGGGACCCTCATGGGTCCATAAACCATGTGCCAGGTGTCTGCTTCTATGTGCATTGTTTTAGCATGTCGTTAAGTCTTAGGCCTGTGTCCCAAGTCACCACCCAAATTGGTGTCCGTGTGTGCAGCCCTCCGGGTCCTCGTGTATTTCCAAATCAAAAACTCCTAAATTTGAAATCTTAAATGCTGCAAAATCTGAAACTTCTTGAGACCAGACATGCCACTCAGAAAGCTCCAGATTTTGAGCTGGGCACAGAGGTGCACGTCTGTAGTCTCAGCGATCTGAGAGGCTGTGGCAGGAGGAGTGCAAGTTCTATCCCCTTGGGAGCAACTTAATGACTTAGCAAGACTTTGTTTCAGAATATAGAAACTTTCAAACGACTGGTGGTATAGTTCAGTGTGAATGCCCTGGGTATAACCCCTGCTACTGCCAAAAAAAAAAAAGTTTCATTTTTGGACTATTTTGGAAGTGGGATTTTCAGATAAGGTATGCTCAATAATAAAATTTATGCAAATATTCGCAAATCCTCCCCACTAAATCTGAATTATTTTTGTTCTCAAGTATTTTGAATAAAAGTCATAGACTTATAGAATTTATTTAACAAACATTTCTGTGGACCGGGGCTATAACACACTTTACACATCATAACTCATTCAATCTGTAACAGGCAGAATTCGTAACTCTGTCCACACAGAGAACCACTGACCGGTTTTAGCTGCAGAGCGCGTGCAAGCCAGGCAGTGGGGGGTGGGTGTGGCATGTGTGTTTGTGTGTGTGTACACAGGCATGTGGCTCTGCGTACGTGTCCGATGGTGGTGCTTGTGGCCGTGGCCTGGCTGACACATCTCCGTGTCTCTGGAGCTGGGCTGTGGCGGGTCCTCACTGTGGGCACCTTCTGCTTTTCAGGACCAAGATGCGGGGTCCTGGGAGAAGCTGCTGCAAGGTGAGCACCGATGAGTCCAGGTCCCTGAGAAGGAGAAGCCCGGCTCCCACGCCACCCCCACCCTTGGCCTGTTGCTCAATCCTGTTGCGCAAGGCCCCAAGCCCACAGGTGCCCCTCCCCACCCCTCCTGCCTGAGAAGCAGAAGTGTGGGTATCTTTGGAAGGGGTGGGGATGAACCACACTGGGAGGGAGACAAGACGACCCCTTGGGGGCTGACCCTTCTTTGTCTCTGACCTCTGATCCTCTCTCCCCAGAGCGGAAACCCCACCACCAGACCAACCCAGCGGCGCACCTTACAGGTAAGAGGGCCCTGGGTCCTGGCGCGGGCAGGGCAGGTGCCCTGGGGACCAGACAATGCAGTGACGTGTAGGGCATTTATTCATTCCTTCCATTTAATATGCAATGTGATCTGAAACTATGGTGACTGTTAAAAATGTTTTAAAAATGCATTATGATAGAAGAAGACACATTCTCATGAGTCCCTCTCAAAACACCCCTGCTTGCAGCAAACACACTTGTCCCGTTGTTCCTGCCACCTCCTGAAGCAGGTCTGGAAGACTTCTATGGTGAATGACTCTAGCCGCGTGGTCAGGGCTGCCTCGATGTCCTGAATCCATTATGAATGTTGACCTTTCACGGTCAACGCTTTGACTTTGGAGAGGAGCCCGAGGTGCCACAGTTCCACATCCAGCGAATAAGGCAGATGAGGACGTCCTAGTGTTTTTAGGAGCCTTTCTGCTAGACGGTGCTGGGCTGCAGGATTCGCTGTGCTTTTTGACCCCACCTGGTAAAGACACCCACAGAAAAGGGCTCCGGCACTGCTGCAGAAAGTGGTCAGAACAGAGCCACAAGCATACTTGAAGGGAGCGGGAAGAGTTTAAAGAGCACTAGTGGTGCTGTGTCTTTTACTGTGATACACACATTTTAAATGTATTTAGTACAGGATCTTCAGGGTCTCACTGTGTAGATCAGACTTGTAGCAATCCGCCTGTTGACAGCCTCTCAAGTGCTGGGGTTACAGGCGTGTACCACCACGCCCAGTCTCAATAGCTGTCTGAGTGTGCCCCAGGGGCGGGGCCAACACAGCAGGCCTAGGGGATTGAACCTTGGCCACTGTGCTCTGCCTAAGCCGGCACTTTAGTCTACTGAGCTATCTGGCCGGCCCTTGTAATGCACATTTAAAATGTAAACATTCATTATATGTTTTGATTCGCACAGTTGCCTGGCATCCACAGGCTCTTGTGGCTACAGCAACTAGTCCTTGTTATCCATGGGGGATGCATCGCAAGATTCCTGAAAGTGCAGACAGTAAAAAGTCCTGTAGATGCTCTATTTTCCTTACACATACATACCCAGAATGAAGTTTAACTTACAAATTAAGCACCAGAAGAGATTAACAATAATTAATAACAGAATAGTCATAGCACTGTATTGGCACATAAGTCATTTAAAACATGAATTATCTGATGTGGAATTTTCCATGTAACATTCCTGTAGCATGGTGCATCCGTGGCCTCTGTAACCAGACCAGGTGGAACCACGCATAAGGAGGGACTAGTGTGTTCTCTCTCTCTCTCTCTCTCTCTCTCTCTCTCTCTCTCTTTCTCTCCCTCCCCGGCATTGAACTCAGGACCTTGCGCTGGAACTTGGGTGTTTCTAATTTTACTTGATAAGCCCTTCTGCAGTACTTCCTGAGTCTTGCCCTGCTATGATTTATACCTGTGTATCTCATATTATCTCTATGCTGTACAGAGAGAGAGAGAAAACAGCCTCAGAGGGGCCCCAGGGCTGCTGGCACCAGGGTCTGTTCTGCCTTGGTTCTCTGATTCTCAAGATTTGACATTTTCTCCCAACCACTTAATCATATCATTGCCTTAGTTCCTTCCTTGATATTCCAGTTACTTTGCCTCTCCGCGCATCTACCTGAAAATGTGGGGGAAATGAGTTAAAAAACATACCACAAGGGCCAGGGTTGTAGTTCAACGGTGCAGCACTTGCCTGGCAAGCACAAGGTTCTGAGTTCAATTCCTGGTACCCCCCTCCCAAAACAACAGCAACAATACCCTCATACCCAGGACATCTTGCTGTGCATCAGTTTGTCCCATCTGCAAAGCAGGAATACCATGAATTTATCCACTTACACAGCCTAGCAGTAGCGTATCAGAAAGTGCTGACTCTCAGCCTTGGTTCACACAGCAGGAAGGAGACATGAGTTGATCCATTTCTCTTTCTCTTTCCCACAGGAGCCAACTCCAGCTTGACGGGCCGCGGTGGCCCGCTTCTGTGGGAGTCCCAGCTGGGCCTGGCCTTTTTGAGAGACTTCAGCTACCGCAATGGGGCCCTGGTGACCACCAAGGCTGGCTACTATTACATCTACTCGAAAGTGCAGCTGGGTGGCATGGGCTGTCCCCCGGGACTGGCCAATGGCCTCCCCATCACCCACGGGCTCTACAAGCGCACGCCCCGGTACCCCAAGGAGCTGGAGCTGCTGGTCAGCCGGCGGTCACCCTGCGGACGGACGAACAGCTCCCGTGTGTGGTGGGACAGCAGCTTCCTGGGTGGCGTGGTACACTTGGAGGTGGGCGAGGAGGTGATCGTCCGGGTGCCCGATGAGCGTCTGGTTCGTCTACGTGATGGCACCCGGTCCTACTTTGGAGCTTTCATGGTGTGAAGAAGGACAGCTGTGGATGGAGAGAGCTCAGAGGTCCCTCTGGTGACAGGCAACCTGGCAGCAGAGATCTTGGGGGTGACGGGGCCTCCCAGGGAATCCATAACTTGGCAGGAGGACAGCTGGGTGGACACCTCCAGGCACCACAATCTGCCCCAGCATGCCTTTTTGAGGGATCCCCTGCTTGACCCCCTGACTTCAGACCTTGTCATGGACAATGTTAATGACAAAGCCCTGGGACTGAGGCACTGCAGACTTGGGGTCTGTAGACCCTCGAGTGTGACATTTAGCCGATTTGCCTGATATTCAGGAAGAAGGGATGAGGGATGGGTATTTATACTTTCCTTCCCGAAGAAAGTGGGATTCCAGGGATTTGGGCTGGAGACTGGCAGCTAGGTGGCTCTCCCCACTGTCACAAGTGGGGCCAGAGGAACATTTATCATAAGGACTGGTCCACCTGGAAAGCCCGATCCAGTGCCAGTCAAGTCTCATGGACATGCGCTGTGGACATCCGCCAGGGACCAGGGTGTAGACGCTCCCACCATGGTGGGTTTTCAGCTGCCCGCTGGCCATGTGCTGTCACTGCAGATGCTGCTGTCCTGCCCCTACCGCACAGGAAGTGCTTGTTGAGGGTATGGAAGGAGAGAAGGATGACTCGATAGTCACACCTGCCTTGTCATGGAGAATCCATGACACCCAGAGGAAACGGCACACACAGCTCACAGGCAGGGCCAGTGGCCCTCAGGCCCCTTCCAGGGGGTCAGGGTCACACTTGGTCATGCCTGTCACTGTGGACTTCCACATGCCAGGTCACTGTCAGACCTGGTGACCCACATGGGGTCACAATGACAAATGTATCTTACTCACTGAACCTGAGGGTCCTTCTTAGCCTGGACTGATGCATCCTGGGTTAGTACTAGACCCTGACTGTGGCCCACGGTCCCTCTGAGTACTGGTTTTTGAAATAAATGGCACACAGTTGCACTCGGGTCTGCCTAGTTCTTGGGGAAAGAAATTGGTGAAGGACGGTGGGATGTGGTCTGCAGACCCCACGAGCCCCATGAGGAAGGGGAAGGGTACAAGGGATGACACGCAATGGCTCACAGAGGTGGAAGGACGCCCCCAATGAGGTCTTCTTACAGATGAGGAGCCTGGACCAGGCAGGAAGCAGGCGGTGAACCGAGACCTCGTCCGGGTCTAGCTTTGCCTTTCCCTCCTGTCCAAGATGGAGGCTCTGCCTTGTGAGGCACTTCACTGGCCACATCCAGGACAGAGTGACAGTGTGAAGAGTCAATGGAAGCTTGGAGTGAAGAGAGGTGGGAAGAGACAGATAATGATATGCATTCAAATCCGCTGGTTTATGCAAATGACTATTACCACAGTGCGGCTGGAGGGCGGTCTTAGTTCCTAGAATCCGAGGATGAGAGATGAGCTCTTTGTCATTGGCATTGTTGGTATAGCTGGTATCGCTGTGATACCGTACAGAGCTGAAGAGAACAGGCTTTGAGAGCTGATGATCCCAGTTTCCACCTTACCCCTCAGCCACTGTGTGACCTTAAGCGCAAGTCTTACCACTTCTCAGTGCCCCAGTTTCTTCATCTGTAAATTAAATTGGAGGAGGGAAGACAACTCACTCTCGAGGTTCATGAAAGCCTGTTTGCTCAGGCACTTGTGCACAGTCAGAGCTCAGTATGTGTGCAGAGCTGGAAGAGACTGGACACACTGCCATTTGTGGGGCTGTTCCGTGTGCCAGCCACCCTGTATAGGATCTCTCTCTCTCTCTCTCTCTCTCTCTCTCTCTCTCTCTCTCTCTCTCTCTCTCTCTCTCTCTCTCTCTGTATTTTAGGGAAGGGTCTACAGGGTGTTCAGGGTCTCACTGCTAGAATGGACTCGTAGTGATGCACCTGTTTACAGCCTCCCAAGAGCTGGGATTACCGTCGCGCACCACCACGCCCAGTCTCAATTGCTGTCTCTGCTCGCCCCAGAGGCAGGGCCAGCACAGCAGGCCCGGGAATTGAACCCCCGGTCCCTGTGCTTGCTTGCAGGCGCTTTAATCCGCTGAGCTATTTGGCCGACACTCCTGTATAGGTTTCATCATATAGAGTATATCATCAGATCCAAGACCGGGGCGGGAGGTATTAGGGTCCAGCTGTTAGTCTGAAATTGTGGTCTGAGAGGGGAACTGATGCCTCCCTCTGCCTAGGGCGGAGCATCCTGGGAAGTTTCCCACCGCCTTGCCCTCGCTGGGCTGGTAGGAGGTAGAAGGGCCCCAAGTGCCCAGCCCCGGCACCCACCGGAGTTTCCTTTACTCTCATCACAGTCTTTTTGTTTCCGTGGCTTTGATGAGGAGACCAAGGTACAGGGACAGTGTATTTATAAAAGCCACAGGCAGCCACCAGCTTCCGCCTGGGGACGGAACCTCTTGCTAAGTTTAGTCTCCAAAAGTCATCTTAGCAGGGTCTTGGCAGCCTGGAGGAGGAGGACAAAGGGGGAGAAATGGTTATGGGTGAAGAAGGGAGGTAGAAGGGGTAGAAAAGGAGAGGTAGCAAAGGGAGGAGGAGGTGGGGAAGAAGTAGGCGTAGGAGGAGGAAGAAGAGGGAAGAGAGAGACAAGGAACATGAAGGAGAGGGAAGGAGAGAGAGGAAGAGAAAGGACAGAGGAAAAGGGAGAAGGAGATGGGGATAGAGGGAAGATCATAAAAGATGAGAAGGAATTAAAAGCCTCAGCTAGGACAGAAGCTGAGATGTAGACCCTGGCATGATTCAGGTGAAATATATGGCCAGGAAGCCCCTAGCCCATGGCACTGACCTAGTTTGCAATTTCTGAGAAATTTATCTGCTCTGTTTCCTCCTTCACCTCTTGGGCCCCACCATCAACTCTTCCTGAGGGCCTGCAGTCCACCGCCCTCACCCTACCCTCACCCCTGTGCAGGAAACCCCTCCCCTTGTCTTCATCTCTTGCCAAGTCCCAGAGGTAGGAGAAGTCAGCTTGTGATCGGTCCTTAGCTACCTATTACCACGGTAGGCTCCTCCTTCCTATTTTCATGCTAAGCTCCTCCTTCCTATTACCATGCTAGGCTCCACCCACCAAATGTCACTGTGCGTGAACACTGATATGCACCCTTGTGGAGAAGCGCAGTGCTTCCGGCGCAGAGCCAGACCACCTGAGTTCAAGTTCCTCTTCTGCCATTTCCCAAAGGGTGACCTTGGGCTCCATCCTTGGTTTATTTGGGCCTCAATTTTCTCATCTGTAAGGTAGACAAAGTGTGGCCTCTACTTGACACTCATTACTGTGAGAGTAAGTAACTTGAATCTTTAAGTACTTGTACAGAGCTTGGCCTGCAATGAGGTCTTTAATCCTTAGTAGCTGTTCTTTTTGTAAGCATAGTTTTGTCCCATGGTTTGGAGAAGTGTCCCTCAGGGGTCCTGGCTGTGAATGAGCAGTTCTGTCCCACTATAGGCTACCACCACAGTGTACTTCCACAGGACCAAGCAACAAAGCCAACAGGCCATAGACTGGATCCTCAAAATCAGTGAGCCAAGAAAACCTTTCCTTTTTTTTTTGTATTGGTTATCCCCAGTATTTGTTATAGTAACAGAAAGCTGACTAACACAGTTATAATTACAGGGCACATTCAAATTTTTTATTCTTCTCAGTTGTTATGTCAGAGATGGTCTACCATGCACAGCCCACATTGAGTCATATGCATGTGTTTTTAAAATAGGGATTTGGGGCCAGGGATGGAGCTCAGTGGCACGTAAGGTTGTGTGTTTGATTCCTGGCACTGGAAAAAGATGTGTAAAATAGGGATTAGTTGCTAATATTTAAATATGAGAAGTTTCTGCGCAAGGATCATTCTGGACTTCTGGATTCTTCTGGGAAAGTGCCAGCTGGAGCAACAGCCCTGTTGAGTAGAGGCTGCCGGAAGCCAGGTCCTGATGCAACAAGGAACTGACCCCTCCCTTCCTTGGTCCTCAGGTCTTTGTTCCTTTGATGAAAGAATTCTGTCAAGACAGCTGGACAGCCCTGCACCAGCAGAGGTGGAATTGATTGCAGAGTAGATAGACAAAGACTTACCCCTTTGAACCAGAAGGTGGGCAGTGCCATACAGCCATGTGCACTAGATGTGAGTTTGTGTATCTCTTTTATGCACACAAGTATTATTCCTGGGGTTCAAGGAACTACAGTCACTATCGTGCTGATTGATATTTTACTTAGATGTTAGGTTGGACTCTCTAAGAGAGCTGGCGTTTTCTTAGGGGCTTTCATCATATGAGAAACTTGTACAAGATAAATTCTTAGTTCAAGCCAGGCCTCGTCCTAAGGCAGGAAGGTCTAAAAACATGTCCTCTCCTGATGTCGGTGGACTGTAGCCATAACAGCCAGGACTGCCACGGGCCTCGCTGCCAGGGTGGCTGGGTATCAGAAGGAATGGGCAGGATGTGCAACCTCAAAATGTTGTCGTACCCGTGGGATAACCTTGGATCTGACACTCAACAAATGATACTAAATGTGTCATACCGTACGTTGAAGCCTTTGCTTCTTTACTCAAATGGCAAAGCACCACATTTGGGTGTACAAGCCCTCTGCTGTCCAGGCCCCTTACTAACTGCCTGCTAACAGTGTGGCTTCAGTCCTTGCTTATGCAGAGGGAAATCCAGGACAGAACCATTAAATGGCTTCTCCATCTAACGTGGGAAAATGCAGACGTTCCCTGTTATGGTTTGTATCTAGTTGTCCCTTCAAAGCCTCGTGTAAATAAATCATGGGGCGGTAGCCTCTTGTGGAGCAGGGAGTGGCTCGAGGGGCGGGGCTAGAGGGCCTGGGCGGGGCTTGAGGGGGCGGGGCCAGATGAGCAGGGCTGGGCTTGAGGGGCGGGGCCAGAGAGGTGCGAACCTTTAAACTGACGGCACGTACCTCCCGACCTGCCCCCAGGCCTGGCGGCCTCTCTTGCAGGTATGCAACGGGTCATCCGAGACATGATGGCGCCCCTGCCTCTCCTTTAGGTCTTGCTATATAATTCAGGCTGTTTTAAACTATGAAACCTCCAGTAACTGTGAGCTAGGTAAACCTTTCCTTCCCTCATTTTGAGTGTCAGGTATTTGTCCCAACAACGAGAGAAGAGTAACTAAGACACTCCTTATCTCGTGATGCAGTTAGGTCTTGCAACAAGGTTAGTTCCCAGAACTAGAACATGAATAAGTAAAATTGCTCGGCAGAGTCAAGGCACAGTGACAAACACCTGTCAGGCCAGCTGTTGACACCTGTTCAGACCAGCTACTCCGGAGGCTCAGAAGGATCATAAGTTCAAGGTCAGCCTGGGCAACATAGTGAGACTCTGTTTCAAAATCAAAAAAATTAAGAAGGTCTAGGGGTTTGCCATGTGGTAGGCCTGGATTCCAATCCTCAGCGCTGTAAAATAAACCTGTTGCACTGAGTACATCTAACCCACTGAACAGCCCTGCTCAGCCGCCCCTCCTTGGCCATGCTTGGGACAATCAGCTTAGCAGAGTCATCTGACACGAAGCCTATTTCATAATAAAGTATTGAATATTGAATCCATTTGCTGGTGATTGCTGGACGGACTGGGCCAGCCTGCTGCCACGGTCATGCTGAGGTGTTATGGAAGAAATACACACAAGTAGAAAGGAGACAAGTCATGACTTCAAAACTATGCTTTCTGGCTCCAGTGCAATCCCTCAGCTGCTGGCAGACCCTTCACCCCGCTGGCATAGGCTTCCTGGCTCCCGCCACTGACCTTGGGCCTTCCCAGAACCGATCCAAGAAGCTGGCTTGCATGGGACTTTGTTGTGGTCTCCAGGCCTCCAGTTGGACTCATGGGCGGCGTTGTTATGAGCTCGAGGCTTTTATCTGGACTCATGTAGGATATCAGGACCCAGAACTCAGCTGGATTCTTTAGTATTTA